TCTGAGGCTCCGTCTAACATACTTTGGACATGTTGTGAGGAGAGACCGGTCCTTGGAGAAGGACATCATGCTTGGGAAGGTGGAGGGACGGCGCAGAAGGGGAAGGCCCTCTATGAGGTGGATTGATTCAGTGACTGAGATAACCGGGATGGGAGTATCGGAGAGAGTGTGATTGGCACAGGACAGAGCAGAGTTTAGGGCTGTTGTATATAGGGTTGCTATGAGTCACAAGCGACTCGACGGCACTTAACAACAACAACAACATGGGCCATGAGCTGGACAAAAACTATATAAAACCATTATTGTAGAAATAGATAACTTGTAAAATGTATATGAAGATCTAAGGGGGAGAGTGGAACAGAGGGGTGAGGATGGACAGGGGAAGGGAGAAATCATAGGTTCACACAATTTGATGGGTGAAGGAAGAGGTGGATAAGGGAAATGGGAAAGATCCAGTGAAAAACAATTTATATGAATTTTGTAAGAAAAGCAGTATAAAATAAAAATGTTCTTTAAAAACGTTATTGCCATATCCTTACATAATCATGGAATATTTCCTTTGGGCTTCCATATCTATATGTGCCTTTCACATTTAGAGCATAAACTTGAGGGCAGGCCCTAGCAGATATTCAGATGTTGTATATGACAAGATTTCCAGTGTCTCTTCTCCTTTAATGGCATTATAGTCATCTCTGGTATTAGTATGGCACATATAAGTTCCTCATGGTCCATGGAGTTAAGTAGAGAGAAGAATGGGAATTGGCCTACCTGTAACAAGCACAAAAACATACCTCGCCTATGAGCATCCTTGAAAACTGTTTCTCTTTCTAGATCCTAAAACTTTTACAACATATACCAGAAAAGGTCTCTATTTACTGTTCTACTCACCTTTAATTCTGTCAGCATCTGCCTTAGGGTTTCTTTATTAAGGCCAACCTTCTTAAATCTTTTTGAAATCTGAAAATCCATTCCAAAAGTTGAAAACTAAGTAAGGCATGAAAACCTGGGTTAATGGCAAACATAGGGATCCCAAAACTACAGAATGGGGAGTAATTTATTAAAGAAATTTTCCAGGTGAAGTCGCAGATAAAGGCTTGAAAGAATTGTGTTTTTCCCCTGTGGAAGCTCTCTAACTACATGCTAACTGGACAGACCTTTTTTGCTCCCATAGTTCCAAAGAATGGAAAGAGTACAGTGGGAAGGGGAAATCTTTCCCCTCTTTACAGCCCTTAAGCTTTCTCACTACAAATCTTTAACTCCCAGGGAGCAAGTGGTTGTGTGGTCAAGGGTCTGTACTAGAAAATTTATAAGGTGGCCACTAGGAGAGGGAGCAGACAAACTGTATTGGTATTTTTGGCTGAGAGTTCAGGAAGGCGCTGAATCTGTTGGGATTCCTAGAAAATGACCCTAAGAGTCAACATTGCAGATAGCCTTTTCATAAGCTTGTGTGTATGTCTTCATTCTGAATGTGGTAAAGTCTTCTCTATCATGCTTCCATCCCACCACTACTAGTCTTTCCACTCAAAGGCCATGTTCTGAAGAACAAAAACACTAAAGACCCACCTTACCTTCTTCTGAAGCTCCAGCACCTTCTTGCTTAGAATCTTGTTATTATTTTCCTGCAGGAAAAACAAAAAACCCAAAACCAACCCAAACAGGTAATGAAGCAAGCTGCTCTGCTGTCACACCCTCCCATTCACTGAACCACAGATATTATATCTAGTTGTAAGTGGGTAGACATGTCTAGATGCTTCAAAGGGTTACTCAGCTGCTAATAGAAAAGTGGAGGCTTGAGAGGACTGGGAGAACAATCCGTTAATATAAGACATTGTTGAGACAAGTATAACTAAAAGCAGTCCTTTTAGCATGAGTCAAATGTTGCCCAAGCCTATGTCATTCTCACGATCTCCACAATGCTTAAACTCATCATCATCATTGCAGTTCCTGTGTCAATCCTTCTCCTTGAGAACATTCCTCCACTTTGCATATCCTCTGCTTTTCCAGGCATGATCTCTTTTTGCAAGGGCTGGCATCTTCTAACAACTTGTCCAAAATATGGGAAATGAAGTTTAACCTTCTTTGCCTCCTCCAAGATAGACCTGATTGTTCTTTTGTCAATACTCTTCCCCAAGGTCATAACTGACAACCACAAAGTCAACAGTTCTTCTTTAGAGTTCCTTATTCATTGTCCAACTTTCATATGGATGTGAAGTAATTGAAATACCATGGCTTAGATCATATGGACTATAATCTTTAAACTGACAACTTTGTTCTTTATCAACTTAAAGAGGCCTTTGATAGAAGATTTGCCCAATGGAACCTGTTTTTTAATTTCAACTCCTATGGATGTTGATTGCGGATACAGATTAAATGAAATATTTGACAACTTCAATCTTTTCTCCATCTTTCTTTTTTTCCATTTTTTCTTTTTTTATTATTAAATTTTATCAGTTTTAATGAACATTTACAGAGATTTTGGGTTTTCAGTCATTCATTGTTGCACTGTTTTCTCCATCCTCCTCCCCAGTTCGTTCTTCCCTCCCCCCCGAATGTCTGTTTTAATTGTCCAATTGCCACAGTGCTTGTCAAAGCCAGTTCTGATTAATCTCCTTTGTCAGTCTGTCCCTTGCCATTCCCTATCACTCCTCCCTGAGAGAGACTTCACCCTGAGTCATAAGGAAAAGGGGATGGCATATTCTCTTAGCTACTTCCTGCTGAAAAGGGACGCTGTGGGTTTCAGGGTGAAGATCTTCTCTCACTACTCTATAGGGCCCCTTTGGCAGTAGGAAACACATAGACTATTATGGAGATTGATTTTGGAATTTAGATGCACTGTTATCAATTGTGCTTAGCCGTTTTCTCCATCTTCCAACCAGCAGCTCCATGGAAGAAAGATGAGCAATCTTATCCTGAGCAGTTTATAGCATAAGAAACCCAATGAAGTTCAGCTAAGAATTGGTTCAACTCAAAAGCAATGGGATATGATGCAGCTTATTGGTTCTCTGAGTTATGAGGATATTTTTTTCCATGTTCCTGTGTAATCCATATTGGAGGCTGTATTCTTTGATCTTCTTCAGTCAGTGCTTTAAATCTTGTTCAGGTTCTACATGGAAAGTGTGTCATCTGCATAGCATAGGTTGTTGATGAACCTTCTTCTAATCTCAATGCCATATTCCTTATATAGTTGAATTATGTGCTCCTTGAATGACTTTAAAGAGAAAATCAGCCATTGGCAATCCTATGAAGCAGAGGCCTATTGTTACATGTATTGGTCACCGTGAGTTGTAATTAACTCAATGGCAACCTTTTAAATGTCTATGTATTTGTATATATGAGAAAAGTGAATTCTGTCCAAGATGGGAGCAGAATGGAGGCACTCAACCCCTATGCCATCTTAAACACCTACAATGTCTATAGGTACAGAAGACTATTATGGAAATCCCTTGGAGGAAAGAGAGCACAGATTGTGAGTAAAATGTATCATATGTTCCTTTTCTAGCCACCTCCTTACCAGCTTTGCTGTCTCCAATTCCACATCCCTCAGGGCTTCCTCTTTCTCGGTTATGATGTTGTTCAGCAACTCCTCCTCTGCCTCATGTCTGAGTGGCAGAGTGAGCTCTCTTTCCAGGCTGAAAATATAAAATTACTACATACGCATTAGTCCTAAGGAAGCTGCAACAGCACTGCGACCCTTAGTAAATGACTCCCAGGGATCTCTGGGGCTTGGAAAGCTGCCAAAGTCAGTGTCAATAAAATTCTGACCTATATAGAAATTTAATGCAAAAAGCTGTAATTAAAGCCTTTGAAGGAGCTGCAGTTCATGTATCAGGATTTAATTAATACTCTAAAGTTAACTGACAAGTGAGCTTTCCCCCTGCTTTATCTTTGTCCTAAGGAACACTCAAATGAGGAAGAGACTTTGTCATCTACTGCATGCCTGACCTTTGAATAATTTCTTCTTTCTCTTGAATTTTTTTCAGAAGAACTTGATTTGCCTCATCCATTCTTTGCAGATCCTTTTCAAGGTCTGAATTAAGATATTCAATGTTCTGTTTCGTAACTTCTAATTTTGGTATTTCCAATGTATTGTACCTGTAAGAAAATAATCTTATTACTTAACTCATGATAGGAAAACATAAGCATTAAGACTTCTCCCATAAGTTCATTGAATCTTCCATCTTTTGTTGTTATTATAATTACCACCACCTATATTTCTTACTTTATGTGATAGATTTATTTTTACAGATATTTTCATAAAATATATACTTGGAATCAAATTGTATTTTTATTCTAAATATCATAAGTAGGACCCACTAAAACCCACTGTCTTTGAAATCTTTCACAAAATAAAAAGAAAGGTTTTTTTTTCCTGTAAGGTAATTATTTTCTTCAGAGCCAAAGATTTGTCAATAAAGAAGAACCACAATGAAAGTTCAGAATTGCATTCTAAAAGAAATGTTTTTTATACGTAATTATATTCTAACTGACCACATTTTTTTTTCAAATAGAGCACCCATTTTGTAAATAACGTGCACACACGAAACAGGCAGAAATAGTGTAAAAATGTTCTGGCATAGTATGACTATGCAGACATTGTGCATACCTCATGACATTTCCAGAAGTTAATTTAGCTTCATTTACTCATTACTGGTCCAAAATGTTGCTTTTGATGACATTTTTATAATAAAGACATAAATCATGATCAAGAAATAATGGATAATGTCTGTTAGTACCACAGTAATTGAAAGCACACTTGAAATTGTACATTTGTTCTGAGCAGTTTCAGTTCTTTATACTCACTGTATGCCCAGATATGCCATTCTAAATTTGAACAGAGGGCCATGAAGAGGTCTCAAAGCAAGGTTGCTGAATCCAAAGCAAAGGCTAATCCCATGATGGATTTGAGTTATTGCCTGTGAATATCTGGTTTTTATTATTTAACTCAATGTGAAGCTGATGGTAAAATGATGCAGTGCAAGTGTAGACTGCTCATCCCATTCCAATACTCCTTCCCATCCCTGGCATCAGATTCATGTCTTCACCATTGAGGTTTAAGAGATCAAAATAGCATAAGTACAGTAGTCAATCAACCTGATTAGTTATTGTTATGTGCTGTCGAGTCCCCTGCGACTCATAGCAACCCTATGTACAACAGCCCTAAACCTTGCTCTATCCTGTGCCAACTTTATTGTCTCTGACACACCTACCCCCATTACCCCAGCCACTGAACCAATCCATCTCATCGAGGGTTTTCCTCTCTTGCACTGTCCCTCCACCTTCCCAAGAAAGACGTCTCTCTCCAAGGACTGGTTTCTCCTTGCAACATGTCCTAAGTATGTCAGATGAAGCTTCAGAATCCTTGCCTTCAGCCTGGTCTCACCCTTTCTAGGATGAACCTATTCTCCTAGCCGTCCATGATCTATTCAATACATTTTCAATTCTCCTTCTATCATTCTTAGTCATTGTTCAGTTCCCATGCATAGCAAGAAATTGCAAAGACTATTGCCTGGATCATGTGGACCTTAGTTTCCAGACTGACATTATTGCTCTTCAGTACTTTGGAGAGGTCTCTGACAGCAGACTTTTCCAATGTAATTTGTCTTTTAATTTTCTGGCTGCTGGTTCTAAGAGCGTTGATCGTGGAGACAAACAGAATCTGCCTGATAGTGGAATGAAATGTGCATGGCTACAGAACGCAGCCTGCTGGATAACCTTCTGACCAGAGGTGTGAGATAAGTTGTTGTTGTAGTTGTTGTTGTTAGGTGCCGGTGAGTCACATACGACTCATAGCAATCTTTTAAACCACAAATCTGAACCCTGTCATATTCTGTGCCATACTTATAATACCTGACACAGTTGAGCCCATTTTCATAGTCACTGTATCACGCCATCTTGTTAATGATCTTCCTCTCTTTTTTTAACCTTCCATCTTTCCAGGCATGAATGTCCCTTTTTTACAGAATAGCTTCTTCTCCTAACAACTGTCTTTAGTTAGTATCGGAGTTCAGTTTCACCATCCTTGGCTCCAAGGAGCACTCTAGTTGCACTTTCTCCAAGACATATTTCTTTGTTCTTTTGACATTCTCTTTTCCAATATCACAACCCAAAGACATCGATTCTTCACGTGATCCTTTTTCCGTGTCCAGCTCTCAGATGCATATCAAGTGATTTGGAAAACTATGACTTGAATTAGGTACACCTTAGTCTTTAAGCTGACATTATTACTTTTCAGGACTTTGGAGAGGTCCCTGACAATAGATATTCCCAGCTCTATAGTATTAAGGTAGTATCAAGTATTGGTAGTATTAAGAGTTATAATTGTGGATCTAAGTAAAATGAAATTGCTGACAGTTTTAATCTTATCTCTGTCTATTGTAGCATTGCCTATTAGTACAGTGGTGAGAATTTTTTATCTTGATATTAAATTGTAATCCATAATAAAGAGTATAATTTTTTACCTTCTGCAACAAACACCTCAAGTCCTCCTCACTTTCAGCAAGTAAAGTTGTATCATCTGCATAATGCAGGTTGTTGGTGAATCTTTCTCCAAACTTTATGCCACAGTCTTCTCCACGAAAGCCCAGCATACAAATTTAGTAAGTATGGAGAAAGGATATAATCTTGATACACATCTTTCTTCATTTTAAATCATGCAGTGTTCCCATTCTTGGTCTAGACAGAGATTCATAGAAGTGTGATTAAGTGTTCTTGAATTCTCATTTTCAATGCCAGCCATAGTTTGATCCACACAGTCAAATGCCTTTACATAGTCACTAAACACAAACATATATTTTTCTCATGTTCTTTACTTCCAGCCAAGATCTACTGGACATCAGCAATGATACCCCTGGTGCCATGGCATCTCTTAAACCCAGCTTAAACTTCTGGCAAGTCTCTGTCAATTTATTGTTCTAGCCATTTTTGGAAGATTTTCAGCAATATTTTGCTTGTGTATGATTTAAACGATATTGTTTCATAATTCCCCACATTCTGTTGGATCACATTTTTTGGGAAACCTTGGATTAATAAAATGCTACTAAAGAAGAAAAAAAAATAGGCTGCTCCCACAGCCACAACAATAAAAACAGTGTGGTACTGGTACAATGACAGATACATAGATCAGTGGAATAATATTTAAAACCCAAAAGTAAATCTGTCCACCTATGATCAACAGATTTTTTTTTTAGCAAGTAGGAAAAAGATACTTATTTAAGCAAATACCCTGTTAGGGTATTAAGAGGTTCCCAGGCCTGATTTAAAAAGATACTAGTAGAAATTCAGTTTAAGGTGTGAAAGAGTAAGATGTTCTCAGAGAGAGAAGAATGAGTGCCTCCTCATTGGTTAAAGGAAAAAGATGGCCAAGTGTTTTAATCAGGAAATTAAATCTATTAAATGGAGTAACAACAGCCCCTTTAGTAAATGGTGTTGGCAAAACAGAAAAGCTACCTGCAGAAAATTAGACAATATCCATACCTCACACCATATGCAAAAATTAACTCAAAATGGATCAAGGGTAAAACCTAAAATCATTAGAGATCATTAGAGAAATAAAAATAGGAGCAAACTTAGGATACTTAGGATCCCTACTCTATGTCGTAAAAGGTTGACAAATATAACCAAAATGTAAAACTAGAAGAAGATTTACTAGATGTACGTTGTTGTTGGTTTGTGCCAATGAGTCAAGCATGACTCATAGTGACCTTGTGAACAGATAGGAACTCTACTCTATATGCACCATCTTCAGCTTCTTCAACATACTTGAGCCTATTCCACTTTGCTAATCCATCTCCTCAAGGGCCTTCCTCTCCTTCACTGACCCTTTACCTTTCTAAGCATGATATTGCCTTTCCTAGAAATATGCCCAAAGTATGTGAAGCAGAACATAGCCATCCTGTCTCTAATGAGCACTCTGGATGATTTTTTTCCCAAGACATATCTGCTTGTTCTTCTGACAGTCCATAATATATTCAATGCTATTCTCAAACACCAAAACTCAAAGACATCAATTCTTCTTCTATCATCCTTATTCACTTTCTAGCTCTCAGATCTGTAGTAGGTGATAAGAAAAAGCATAATTTGGGTCAGACACACCTTAGTCTTTCAACTGACATCATTGCTCTTTAGGATTTGGAGAGGTCTATGACAACAGACCCAATGTCTCTAACTGCTGGTACCAAGGGTGATGATTGTGGATCCAAGTAAGATGAAATAAATAATAGATAATTTCAATCTTTTCTCCATCTATCATGATGCTGCCTATTGGCCTAAAGGTGAGAATATTTGTTTTCTTGATACTGAAATGCATTCCATTTTAAAGGCTTCAGTCTTTGATCTTCTGCACCAAGTGTTTCATATCCTCCTCACTTTCAACAAGCAAGGCTGTGTTTTCTACATAAAGCAAGTTGCTGGTGAGTCTTCCTTTGATCTTTATGCTACATTCTTCTTTATAAACCCAGATTCTTGAATGATTTCCTCAGTATACAAATTGAATAGGTGTGGGTAAAGGATACAGCCCTGATGCACACGTTTCTTAATTTTAAACCATGTAGTGTTCCCTTGCTATGTTTGGACAATAGCTTTTTGGTCTTGGTGTGGATTTTATATAAGCATAATTAAATGTTCTGGAAATTATCACTCTTCTAAATAATGGCCATAGTTTGTTATTATCCACCAAGTCAAATTCTTTTGCATAGTTAGTTAATAAAACACAGATAACCTAGATCTATTTGACATCAGCAATGATATCCCTAGTGCCACAGCTTCTTTAACACCAGATTGAAAATCTGGTCTTTGTCAACATCAGTTTTCTGTCAAAGCACAATTCTATCCATTTTTTTTATCATTTTCAGCAATATTTTATTTGCATGTGATTTTAATGATAGTATTTGATAGTTTCCACATTCTTTTGGATCAACTTCCTTAGGGATGGGAACAAACATGGTTCTCTTTAGTTAGCTGGCCAGGTACTCTGAATTTTCTGGCCTAGAGTGAAGGCCAGAGAAGTTGTAGGATGACATTAAAGATTTCATCCATGAAGAGCATAAAGTTAGTTACAAAAAGGAGGATGGAAATAGATGCCAAAAGAAACTGAAAACTGAATTAAAGCATCAAAAAGTCAAACCAAAGGAGGAGATGCTGAAGTAAAAGAGATGAACAGATGCTTTCAAAAGACAGCTTGAGAAGATAAAGAATTACAATGGAGTGTGCAAAGAAACAAAGTTGGAAAATAAAAAGGGAAGACCTCATCCAGCACTTGTCAACTTGAAGAACTGAAAAACAAATTCAAGGCTCTATAGTAATACTGAGAACTGCTGTGGGAAAAATCTTGAATAATCCCAGAAGCAACCAAAGAAAATGGAGGGAATACACAGAACATCAAAAATATCGGCTAGCACTGAAATATTTCAAAAATTAGCATATGTTAAAGAACCAGTAGTGATAAAGGAAGAAGTTCAAGTTGCATTGAACACATTGGCAAAAGATAAGGCCCCCAAGAATTTAGGACATATCAATTGTTACTTACAGAATGGGACCTTCTAAAAATGTAAGTATTTATATCCATCAAAAATTTCTTCAAAGTAGACAAAACTCAGAAGTAAGCAGAAGATATAAAAATATTCTTCATTAAAGAAAACATATAGATGTTCTACAAACACATGAAGAAATGTTCAAGATCACTAGATCTTGTTGTTGCATGTTGTAGAGTCAGAAGCAAGTCATAGCAGGTTTTCAGAGGCTGTAAATTGCACAGGAGAAAATTGCCCATACTTTTTCCATGGAGTAGCTAGTAGATTTGAACTGCATACCTTTGGGATTATAACACAAGTTCTTACCACTAGGCTACCAGAGCTCTCTAAGAGAGATATAAATCAAAACAACAATGAGATGTCACCTTACCTCAGCAATAGTAGCAAATTTCAGTAAGTAATTGAACAGCAGATGCTGGATAGGTTAGGAAGCAATTAGAATTCTCATTTATTTTGGGAGGAAATTAAAAAGGTGCAATCACTATGGAAATCAGTCTGATATTTCTTTAAAACTTAAAAAATGGAAATAATATTTGACCTAGCCATTGTACTACTTGGTATATATAGTAAAGAAATATGAACTATGACAGGAACAGATATGTACTCACTCATGCTTATTTCACCATTGTTTATAACAGTAAAGTGTTAGAAACAACTATCAGCCTATGGCTGGATAGAGAAACTGTGGTACACTCACACAATGAAGTATTATGCAACATTTAAAGGCAATGATGAATTAATGACATAACATGGATAATTCTAGAGAACTTCATGCTGATTAAATGAGTCGGTAACAAAAGGACAAATATTGTATAAGATTAGTATTATAAAAATAGAGAATGATTTAGAGACAGAAAAAATCATACTAGTATATTTGGTAGGGAGGGGAGATAAGAATAAAAAATTAATTACTAGATGTTAAGTATTCAATAATATGGATAAAGGAAAAGATAGAATGAAAAACAATCAGATACTTTGGGTGTTATAATTTGTATTACAGAACAAAATGTAAATGTTTGATTGGCATAATATGCTTTGTAACTTTTAGTAAAATTTAAAAAAAGAATTGGAATTTAAATCAACAGCATGTAAAACAATAAGAATAGCATGCTTATAAACATAATAGGACACAATTTGTTGATTCTTTGGCAATCCATATACTATTCAGTATTAGAAGCCCTGGTGACCTAGTGGTTAGAAGCTGTGCTGCAATCCCAAAGGTACACAGTTCGAATCCACCAACTGCTCTGCCAGAAACAGATGGGCAATCTCTTCCTGTGTGATTACTGCCTCTGAAAACCCATTGGAACATCAGCTATGTGAGTTCTGACTTGACATCATACAACAAAATACACCACTCTTTGCTAAATCCACAATTCAAAGGCATTGGGGGTTTGTTACTCTTTTTAATTTTCAGACATTTAGATGCATAGGAAGAATTGTAAATTTTTAGTTGGATAAGTAAAAAATAATTACATTAGTTAAGCAGGACACTATTTCTTTAAAATGTAGAAGGCTTCCTGAGAAGAAAAAAAAATTATTTTCAGCTTTATAATGATGCTGGTGTAGAGTGTTGAATATACCACGGACTGTCAGCATAACAATCAGGTTCATTCTAGAAAGGGTGAAGGCAGGCTTACCCTTGGAAACAAGGATTCTGAGGCTTCATCTGACATACTTGGGCATGTTGCAATGAGGGACCTGTCCTTGGAGAGGGACATCATACTTGGAAGGGCAGAGGGATGGAGAAAGAGAAGGAGATCAGCAATGAGATGGATTGATTCAGTGACAGGGGTAATGAGGGTAGGTGTGTCAGAGAGATGAAGTTGAAACAGGATACAGCAGGTTGTTGTACATATGACTATGAGTCACAAGCAACTTGACGCCACATAACAACAACAATGGCCAACAGGCTACAAGAGATTCATATTTGTTACCATTCCCAAAAAAGATGATCCAATTGAATGTGATAATTATAGAAATATCATTAATATCACATGTAAGTAAAGTCATGCTGAAGATTATTAAAAACTAGGTGGAACAGTATATTGACAGAGGACTTCCAGAAATTCAAGCTAGAATCAAAAGGGGTTGTGGAATGAAGGATATGTCTGTTGATGTGAGATGACTCTTGGCTGAAAAGATAGACTACCAGAAGGATGTTTATATGTGTTCTATTGACTACGCAAAGTTGTTTGACTGTGTGGATAACAAACAATATCTAACACTGAGAAGAATATCTAACACTGAGAAGAACAGGACTTCCTGAACACTTAATTGTGCTCATGTAAAATCTATACATAGACCAAGAAGGAGTTATCCAAACAGGACAGGGGAACACTACATGATTTCAAAGAAGGAAAGGTGTGTGTCAGGCCTTTACCCTTTCTTGATACCAATCTGTATACTGAGCAAATCATTCAAGAAAATTGTCTATATAAAGAAGAATATGGCATCCGGATAAGAGGAATGCTCATCAGCAACCTGTGTTACATACAGCTAATACAAACTTAGTTGCTGAAGGCAAAAATGACTTAAAACACTTTTTCTCCAGTTTACAAAATGAATTAATTCGTAACATCAAGAAAACAAAAATTCTCACCACTGCATTAATAGATAACATCATGACAGATGGAGAAAAGACTGAAGTTGTCAATGACTTCATTTTACTTGGATTCACAATCAATACACATGGTCACAGCAATCGAGACATCAAAACATGTGTTGCATTGGGGAAATCTGCTATTAAAAAACTTCAAAGTGCTAAAGATCAACAATGCCAGTTTAAAATTAAAGATCACCTGCTCTGAGTCTTGGTTTTTTTCTGTCGCTTCCTATGCATCTGGAAGTTAGGCCATGAATAAGGATGACAGATGCAGAATTGATGATACCTTTGAATAATGGTGTTGAAGAAGAGTATTGAACATCCCACAGACTGCCAGAAGAACAGACAAGTCAATTTTAGAGGAAGTGTATCCAGGGTGTTTCTTAGAGGCAAGGATGAAATTTGATCTCACATACTTTAGCCATGTTGTCATGAAGGTCCAGTCCTTGGAAAAAAAGTATTGTGCTGAGAAAAGTGGAGGGTCAGAGAAAGAGAAGACCGTCAACAAGAACACAGTCACTATAACAATGGTGAGGCTGGGACAGGATAAGGCAAGGTTCTGACCTGTTGTTTATAGGGTTGCTGCTATCAGAAGCTTACTAAGTAGCACATAACAATATCAACACTGTCTGTACTCAGACTTATGACTTACATATCCTTCCATGGCTCTTGTCCAACTTCTTCCATTGCAGATTTCCTGAAATATCAATATGCTCATTTGTTATGGAAATGAAGACTGTAATGACTATGAATAATTAACCAAGAAAAAAGCAGAAAATTACTTGATGAAACAGAGCCAAGAGGAAACCATGCTTACAATCTCTTACATTATAGGATCATTTGTAATATTTTTGCATAAACTAACTTTCAGTGATCAAAAGTTTAAAAGGATTAATGTTTTAATAGTATTTCATGCTTTGGATTCCTTTCTTCTTCCTATTATAGGCTATAACACTGTTGTTATTGTTGTTGTTGTTTTGTGCCCTTCTGACTCACAGCGACTCTATGTACATTAGCTCTGAACCCTGTCCTATCCTGAGCCAATCTCACCATCTCATATACAATTATGCATCATTTAACAAAAATATTCACTAACCTAAATTCTTGGAGAAATTTAGGGGAAAATAGAAAAGATAGAAACTACCAGCAAAGTCAGCCACCTGTTGTCTTCTGACTTTCTAACAAGTTCTACATATTACAGGCTGAATTGATCCTGGGTAAAAGCAGAAAGAATATTTGGACAAAAGGATACAACTAAGGAAAAGACAAATGCCAGGATCGCTGCATATTCTAACCACTACACCAAAATCAAAGTTCAAAGCCAAGCCAATTATGAGAAAAGTGGAAACCCAAAACTCCTACTTTGTCACTGTATTTCTTCTTTCCCCTTGCCTTTGAACCTCTATTTATTCATTTCTTTAGTCCTCCTTCCTATTCTTTTCCCTTCATTTGAGTTGATCAACTCTTTATGTCTCTCTTGTTTTCTTTCTATTCTCTATACACACAAGTCATCTCAGTCTAAGACATTATCTTCTGAGCTCACCTTTTTCTTCCTTGCTCATCTGAACATCAAAGTTGTCTTAAATAACATCACCTCGCTGACTGAATTGTCTCTATGTAGGTAGACCTGTCCTGACTAGCTGGGTGGGGCAGCATGTCATAGTGGTGGGGTAAGTGCGATGTCAACAGCTCAGTAATCTCTGGAAGGAATTTGGACAGTTTAAATCTCCTAAAGTGTCTATTCTGAAGAGCTCTGGTGGCCTAGCCTATAGGGAATGTACTGCTAACTCAATGGTCATTCCTCTCTGGTCATTCAAATCTGCCAGAAGTTCTGAGAGAGAAAGATGGCCAATCTCTTTCCATGAGATTTACAATCTTGGAAAGCACTGGAGCATCAGCTATGATTCAATTCTAACTTGAAAACAATGTATTTGGGTTTTATTGAAGCACCAATGAGATCTAGAGAAATCTCCTCTGAAACAACAAATAAAAAGGAATTACTTTTGTTCTAATTCTCTCAACCTGACAGTAGTAGAAGTCACTCTTATTTCTTTACCATGATTTCTGAGTGACACTTGTGTAAACCGCTGCAACCATATGCAACCATGCATCTCTACTCTATGTACCTGTGAGGCATGTGGTAGAAATTTCTGAAACAAAATGATGAAAACATGAGCAGTGCCTTATCTCTAAGGGGAAAAAAATCCCTTATTGTGTTATATTCTTAGAGATTCAAAACTCCATTTACTTTCCCTGAATTGATGGCACTGCCAGGTTGTTGGGAAGGAAAAGTTTATCTCAAAGATGAAAAGAATATGTAATGAAGAATGCTATGTCTAGAGAACCAATCCTACCACTTTTTCCCTAAGTACTTCCCCTTCCCCTTCAATGTTTGAGATATTTTTAAATTACTGGAGTAATAGATGCAACTTTCATGTACCATACCACTTCACTAATAAATTCTGGGTTCTTCTGTGTTGACAAAACAGGACATTGATTTGGACAGATATCAGTAAAAGGATGTTCTTGGATTTGTCACTGTGCTCACTCTGTCTCCCACACACAATTCATGCCTCCATGATCGAATTTCCAACCTAATACAATCTCCTTAGAACGTCTTCAATGAAACAATATCTGTCATAGTCTCAAACCTCCTTCTCAACTTAGTTCCAGTGCTGCTGTGACACCCTTTCATATACCAAGTCACCGTAACAGTTAAATGAATCCCTCCAATACCTGCTGCTCTCCTCTGGTCTTTTGCATTGTTTTTAGGAATTTGTACACTGGTACTCATACCACGATGTGACAATAAGGTTTTTGAGAGAGGGTTCTTTAGTCAAGGCCAATTTGATTCTCATCATCATCATCCTCATATTTACACAGAATGCATAGGAATGGGAATTGTTTGAGAAGGAAGAAAAGGCTGGGCTATTTATCTTTCATTCTATACCAGTACTTTGTGTTAAACATCAAGCAAGTTACTTAATCTTTCTGAGATACTGACCTATGGAAAGAAAATTACATTCACTTCACAAAGTTGTGAAAAGTAGATGAAGTAGTACTACATATAAGTGGCTCTGATAGCCTAATGGTAAAGAATTGTGCTATCATCCCAAAGGCACACAGTTCAAATCCACCAGCTGCTCTTTGGAAAAAGAAGATCAATATCCTCTCTCGTGATTTAATGCCTTTGAAAACACACTGAGGGGTCAGCTATGAGTCTGTCCTGACTTGACCATACATTACAACACAATATATGTAAGGTATAATCATACTTGACATGCAGTGCTGCCTAATTTTCATCCATTGTTTAGAATAGTACATTTTTAATTTTTCTATTTCATACTAGAATAAGTTTTGTACATGATATTCTCAGTATTTTTAGAGTGGTTGAATGAATAAACGACTCATTCCATGTTCTTTATCTGGAACAGTATACTCCCCTCTCTTCTTCCAACACACCTGAGAGACTCTGATCAATACTCTCTAATTAGTAGACTCAAAATGATAAATAATGACCAGGCTTCTTAATCAGATAGAAAAGGAACTCTGAGACTGTAACCATTAGGCATTCTTCAGCTGGAACTGAATTTTCCAGTGGCTCAATTTTCAGTAAAATAATAGATAAGGTGAACAATGTAAGGGAAGTAAGCACTCCTGCAACAAGCGCTTCAAGTCATCCTCATTTTCAGCAAGCAAGGTTGTGTCATCTGCATAACACAGGTTATTGATGAGTTCCTGATACCACACTCCTCTTCATAGATTCTGGCTTCTCGAATAATTCACTCAGCGCTTCATAGATTCTGACTTCTCGAATAATTCTCTCAGCATACATATTGAATAGGTATGGAGAAAGAATACAACCCTGACACACTCTCTTTTTAATTTTAAACCATGCAGTGTACCCCTGTTCTGTTCGCATAACAACCTCCTGATCCAGGTATTGGTTTTTCATGAACATCATTAAGTGCTCTGGGATTCCCATTCTTTTCCGTGTCAGCCCCACTTATTATGATCCACACAGTCAAATGCATTTGCCTAGTCTAGCCAATAAAGCAAAAATAGACATTATTCTGGTATTCTTTACTTTCAGTAAGGATCCATCTGACATCAGTAATGATATCCCTTGGTGCCCTGGCCTCTTCTAAATTCTGATTGAGCTCCTGGCAGTTCCTTATCTATGTACTCTTCCTTCCATTTTTTAATGATCTTCAGCAATATTTTACTTGCATGTGATATTAATAATATTGTTCAATAGTTTCCACATTCAGTTGGATCACCTTTTTTGGAAATGAGAACAAATATGGACCTATTCCAATCCATTGGCCAGACAGATGTCCTTCAGATTTTTTGGCATAGACTGCTAAGTTCATCCAAGGCTGCATCTGTTAATTGAAACAAGTCAATTAGTTTTCATAGATTCCTGAGGCCTTATTTTTTGCCAATGCCTTCAATGAAGCTTCCAGTTCTCTTTCATTACCATTTGGCTCCAGTCCATATGGTACTTCCTGAAATTTTTCATTGTCAATCAGTTCTTTCTACTACAGTGATTCTGTATATTCCCTTCATCTTCTTTTGATTTTTCTGGGTCATGCAATATATGCCCATAGAATTTTCTAATATTTTGACTCAAGGCTTTAATTTGTTTTTTACTTTTCTCAGCTTGAGTAATGCAGAGCACATTCTTCCCTTTTTATTTTCCAATTCCAGCTCTCTACACATTCCAATATAACACTTTGCCTTGTCCTCCCGAGCTGCAGCTTTGAAATCTTCTGTTCAGCTCTTTTACTTCAGCATGTTTTCCTTTTGTTTTGGTTTCTTGATAAGCCAGTGCAATTTTTAGAGTCTCTTCTGACATTCATTTTTATTTTTTCCTCTATTTTTGTAAGAAATGCAGTCTCTGGTATGGGTTTCATCTCGAAGTCAAGAAAACAAAGATTCTTATTACTGGACTTATTTGCAACATTGTGATGGATGGAGAAGAGACTGAAACTGTCAAAACTTCATCTTGCTTGGATCCACAATTAACACCCTTAGTCAGGAAATAAAGACAATTGCCCTGGGAAAATCTGCATTTAGGGGCCTCTCAGTTTGAGGACTAAGGTGCATCTTATTCGGGCCATACTCTCCATGATTTGTTATGCATCTGAGAGCTGAATAGTGAATGAGGATGACAGAAGAAGAATTGATGCTTTTAAGCTATGGTGTTCGAGACGAGCACTGAACAGCTCATGCACTGCCAAAAGAACAAACAAATATGTCTTGGAGAGAGTGCAACCGGAGTGTTCTTTGGAGGCAATAATGATGAGGCTTTGCCTCACATACTTTGGGTATGTTGCTAGGAAGAGCTTTTTTCTTGAAGAGGGACATGATGCTAAGAAGGGTGGAGGGTCAGTGAAGGAGAGGAAGACTCTCAATCAAGCGAACTGATGTGGTGACTGTCACAATGGGTTCTTATGTGTCAGGAAATGTGAGGATGGTGCAGCATAGGACAGGGTTCAGGTTTTTTGTTCATAGGGTCTCTATGAGTTGTACTCGACTGGACAGAACCCAACAACAACAACAATAATAACAACAACAAACATTCCTTAGA